TTTTTAGGTATTGCTGGCTATGGTAAGTATTTTCGTACTATACGTAGTATGTTAAAATTGAAAACTATACTTGTTTTACGGTGAGGGTTTATACATTTTCGAAAAGGTTTTTACAAAGCTTTATTTTTAGACCCACCCACCCTTATTTATCCCCCTCCAAGTTTTAGTAGCAGAGCTTCTATATCGACAAGGATTCTTGGCAAATGTTGGAATTGGAGATTACCTTCGATGGTATAATTCTCATTCTATTTTTACTGTACTTTACTTATACTCTAACATCACGTGTGAATTGAGTTCAATCCTGCTCACATGCGCACTCTTTCATTTAGGCACTTTAGGTTTAAATTTATTCACATTTTCCCTCTCACTACACTTTATGGCTTCATCACCCTACATGTGTCGTCAGCATAGCTCGATTTGAAGTCCAGGTGGACATTCTAAGTCGGGACGTGTCATATCTATTTTTTACGAGTTACAAATTTATTCCTTAAACTTCGAGATTGATTGTGCCGCCTACGATATGGGGGGTATTCGACCTAAGTGATTATATTGGAATTAATACCGGTGAATGGTTAGTAGATATATGGAGTAACATACACAAGTGAAAGGTTTGTATCCAAATTTGAAGTTTAGAAGATTAACTAAAGATAAATTCATTTCAGTAATACAACTTTACATCGGATCTTAAATTATCTAGACATATATGCAACATATTTATGTTATTAAAATTAAAGCTTTTGGGGTGGGTGGGAGCTTTGTAGATATTATTAGCAGTGTTCTAAAAAAACGCTTAAGGTAGCTGTCTAGGTGTTCGACGGTGGAAGCCCGCTGCAATTTGGGGAAAATTGTTTAAAAAATTGGTGGGGACTTGGGCGGCTGCCTAGGCACTCGCTAGGCGCACTAGGCGGTCTGAAATTCTTGCCATCACACAAGGTGCTCTGCAACTCTCGCCACCACCTAAGGCTCTGCAAGATTGCAACTCTCTCGCCTCGAACTCTTGTAGCATCTGCAACTCCAAGTTTCCAACACCTGCATCGCATCTCGCACCTCACATTTGGCATCTGCACCTGCATCGGAAACTATGGCTGCTTGCTAGAGTTTCTGGAAAAGAGAGGGAGCAAGAGAGAGGAGAGAGAGTGGCTTTGGGTTTTTGTGTCATGGGCTCAAGGGAAGAGTGAAAATTTATGTAGGAAGAGGAATTTTTGCTTGACTTTGCCACGTGTGTGATTTTTTATGACTAAAATAAATATATTTTTAATGAGGGAAACTTGGTCCAATTGTTTTTCCAATTAAAAACAAAGTCCAACTATGATTAATATATATGGGGTAAGTAAATGTTACAAAATTAACAAAAAAAAAGTCCTCAAATTATACACATATACTCATATTTTATAATATATATATTATAAATTTATGTAAATCCGTCTAGGCCGCCTAGCCGTCTAGATGCTAAGCCCCAGCTTGCAGCCCAACTAGTGCCTAGCGTCTAGTATTTTTTAAAACCTTGATTATTAGTGCATCCCTCGTACTTTAAGCTTTTGGAGCCAATGGTTTTAATAGAATCGTCGCAAGTTGTTAAGATTAAAACATATAAGATTGTTAGGGTGGTCATACTTTGTTTTCAACAAAATTTTATAAATCAAGCTAGTGATGTAATGTAGTTTTCATTTGTTATCTAATATTTATTGCTTAAACATAGGCCGAGTCCATCTTCATGTTCTTTTACACTGCAAGTGGCATGCTAAAATCAATGAAAAAATTACGCTTCATTTGATAATCATTTCAATTTTCAATTTCTTGAATAGTAGCTGTTTTTAATTTTTATTTTTCATTCCTAAAACAAGCTAGTTTTTTAGTACTAAAAAAAAAAAAAAAAAAAAAAAAAAAAATTAGTTTGAACTTGGTTCTCATTTATTTTTAACTAATAGCTGAAAACACTTACGAAACAGATTTGAAGACTTTATCAACATGGAAGTGAAGATGAAAATGAAAGAACTGGCTCTTTCCAATTTTAATGTTATTAGGATAGTTTGTGCTATTCACAAACTCGCTCTTATCTCTCACACACCTTTATTAATTTTTTTGTCATAGATTGCTGTCAATCTATTAAGGTCGAAAATTAAGAGGAGTGAACGAGTGTGTGGATAACACTACCCTATTATTATGGCTTTCTGTTGAGAGTATGAATCCACATCAAGGAAAGGAGAGATCTGTATGCACTTAAAAACAGTTGGATTACTTTCCATGTTGCTATTCGGTATTACGATGAAACTTCAACTTTTTTTATGTTATCAGAGCAGGTTGTCTCGTGTGTAAAACTCAACAATTAAACGTGTTTAACGTTACTTCAATTCTGTTATCCACACGATAAGTTTAAAAATTCGTAATACATGAAGATGCGTGTGTTGAGAATATAAAAAGAAAGAACTTTGCTATTTCATTGTTTAATCTCTGCTATGATTCATCATTTCATATCTTCTCTGGGGTGCAAAACAATAGAGTTCCATTACACAAACTCAAGGTCACGTGAGCATGTAATATGTCAAAAACCCATCGTTGGATTCCTCCACTTTTCGTGGCTTTACAATACAATACTTATCGGAAAATAAAATATTGAACATGCTGGTCATGTATTACCTACTACCTAGCTAGTTGTAGGTAGGTCGCTATGCTAGTCGAGCACTCGAGGATACAGATAACTCAAGAGTTTAGTTCTCTACACTTTTTTGTTCTTTTGCAGTATCCATGCATGGTCCCACGTTGTCACACATGTTCTTCTTTCTTTCTTTTGAGAATTATTGTTGTTATTTCGTGAAACAAAGAAAGTGCTATTTAAATAAGAAAAATTAATGAAACGGATTTGAAAATTTTGAGTTTTAATAATAAGAACAAAATAAAGGGTAAAGTGAATAGTATCAGGTTTGACTTTTTAATGTAAAAATGTGATTTTTCGTTAAAATAAATAGTACCGTAGGCTTTTCGTTAAAACTTTCATTTAAATATCTATTTTTAACTGCCACATGCCTTTTTAATGTTTTGTCGTTGATGGAATAAATAAATAAAAAATCAATAGATAAAATTTAAAAAAAAAAAAATGTGTGGAAAGTAAAAGTAGGTATATGGATAATAGACTAATTCCCGTGAAACAAATGAAACTTTAGGAATGTGCTATTCATACAAATCTTTTTACATCTCACACACCCTTGTTAATTTATGTCCGTTGATCTTCTTCAATTCATCTGATATGACGGTTAAAAACCAAAAAAGTATGGAAGAAGTAAAAAAGAGTGTGTGGATATCATATCCCAAACTTTAAGGTGGGGTGGTCACTGGGCAAAACCAGCTGGATATGGACCTAGTCATGTCAAATAAAAATAAGAATAAACAGATCATAAATAACTCGCTACCTACTTTTATATAAATGGATTTATCCATGTCCATCCATTAAGAGTTCGTTTGAAAGCGTTTTTAAAATGATTAAAAATGTTTTATAAAAAAATATTTTAGATTTCAAAAACACTTTTAGTGCTTCCTAGAAGAAGCACCAGGAAACACTAAAAATATTTTTCCAAGGTTCACTTGTGTTTTACTAAGAATTGGTTACAAAATATTTTTATCAAAAATACTTTCAATCATTTTTAAAGAACTTTCAACAAGCTTGAAATACTTGATTGTAATACAACCGCTGGACAAATGGGTAACCACAACCCAGCCTCAACCTTCTTTTCTTCTATTAATGTGAAAACAATCACCAATAGAGCCATTTCTCTCTAACAAAAATAAATTTAGAATTTTCTAATACTGATTCATAATTCGTTAATAAAATATATAATTTTATCTAATGTTACCAAAAAAAAAATATATATATATAATTGTATCTAAATATTTGTAATAAATAATAAAAAAGAAACTAATAATTGATCAACATCATTGTATTAACGAATGTAGCTTTCTAGTTACCCTGTAATTTGACTGAGATTCTATTTGAAACAATGGTGGAGTGTTGTATTCTAGTGAAACGATGGCTAATAGCCAAGGAGATGTTGCACATCTAACATATCATGAATAAAACAATAATAAAAGAAATTATTTGATGCATAATTGATTAATCAATATGAGGTAATGGCAATACCTAAATTGAATTCTCTTGAAATTTTAGTGTGTGAAGTTGTTGGAAATTTTTTATATTACAAATATTGACATATTTAGTTTTATGTGATCACTGCAGACGTCCACGCCCTAGCAAAGAAAGAGTAGCTTTCACGTGAAAAAATACACACTTTTAATTACTTGAGTTCCAAGTTCTTCAGGAAATATAGTTTGATGTTAGGCCGGACGTGCACAGTGAATGTGATGAATGAAAGGAGACCGGACCCATGCATGATGGAGTAATCTCAAATCAAACACTTGAAAAGTGGGAGTGAAAGATAGAGAAACTCAGCGTGGGACTAGCTTTGTTTGCAATTGGCTTGGCTCTTGGCGATGCTTCTCTTTCTCTGTCTCTGGATGTAATTGTTGTACTACATGGTTGTAGGGGTAGTTGTCTGTGTAAGCAGGGGCCCAAAAATCAACAAAAGCCGTTGTTCCTATTAAAATAGAATGGTTGAGAGATGAGAAGAAATTACATAAAACGAGTTTATTATTATATGAAATTTCGATTTAATACTATATAACTATGTGTAATTTTACTACAAAATAATAATACATTATTACATAGAAATATTATACAATGATCTCGTTCTACGTAAATTATTTTCTCGAGAAGGACTAAAGATAAATGGTACTAGTAGTAGCTACTAGCAGTAGTAGTATGTCATAATATTCTTCCCTTTTCTTTCTAAATTTTTTTCCCAACAACACTTAACCTTTTTCCTCTGGGTACTCTCTCTGACTTCCCATCACTGTCCCCCAAAGCCCCACCACCACCACTCTTCTATTCCTAGCTTTTGCTTTCCCATAATTTATCATCAAATTCTCACTACTTTTCCTCTTTCTTCCACTTTCTTCCACTTTCTTTTGTATTTTTAAGTGAACTGTTTGTTTGTTCTCAGTTTCATGATCTCACCCACCACTTTGTTTTATCAAAAGAGAGCAACCCACAAGCCTGTTCTTTGTCTTGAGATGTTCAACTGCAATTCTATGACAAGAAACACTCAACTGGCAGATGTCTGCTAATTCAAGCATTGCAATGGAATCCAAGAGCTAGCCAATTGTACTTGGTCTTCAACCAGATCAATGGTATACTTTTCTTTGCCCTTCGTTTTCTGCATGTTCTTGTTTATATATTTGTGATTGATTGCATACAAATATCACCAGTTGATCTAGTCTTTTATGGTGTATCAATGCTGATTTGTGGTCTTGCCTGGTTTTGTGATTGTTGAATAATGTAAATAATTCCACATCGAAGAATTGACAAAAATTTCAAAATTGCCAGCACAATATGCACGTGGTAATAATGTGCTAGTTGGAGACATTATCGATGTGATTAGTAGTATACCATAATGGTATGTCTCTCTGAAATCTTGATAACAATGATATCCTGGGCTACTTTGGAATTTTTATTGGATTCAAGATTACATCTATATTGGTAACTTTTAGTCTTCTGATAAATTTTCCTGCATCTCCTTGATTTCCCAGGTTTTTTTTTTTTTTTTTTTAAATAGCATCAGAATTTTGGTTGGTCTAAAGAACATGATTTCTATACATATTTTATTTCATTTTTCTATTCAAGATTAAAATTGTACAGGAAATATGCAAGGATTAAACGGAGGATTTGTGCTTTTGACATGAAATTCCTATGTTGCATTATAACATGATTTCAGATAACAAGGGACGTTGCTTAAACGCAGTTAAATGACCATGTTTTGTTCTTCTAGCATTATATGACTAAGTTCGTTAAGAAATCAACTATGTTTCCCCTCTCTGCTCCGGAGATTCGATGCTCACCTTTCAAACTATGTTTCCTTAAAATTCATACCAAGTGAAACTGCAATCGATCAAAACAAAAAAAAAACAGTAGTTGTGATGGATAAATAATTAATAAATTTACACTGCAATATTCACGATCTTGCATTCCATTCAGGTAAAGGAGAGTGAACATTACCTCTAACATTTGAGCATTCTTTGTTTCCGAAAATGCAGGATGTATAAGATCAGCTAGTCCTTACTGGACCAGCTCAATCCGGTTATTTCAAGTCTGATATGTAAACTATCCCCCCCTCAACGACAGCAAATCATGAACACATATATTGACCTTGAAGTGGAAGCCTCATCGGCAAATGACTCTGATATTAGTAGCCAAGTTGCTTCTAATATCTCCATCCAAGATACATCTGCAAATCTCAATGCAGCTCATCAAGGATTGGGTCCTGCAGTTTCCCTTGATTTGACACTTAGCTTCAATAAAGAGGACTTAGGGGGAAGGGATTCGACAGGACTCTCATTGTCGAGCACGAATGAGAGCAGCAATGAACCTGCATCTCAGAACATAACATCACCCGGTCCAAGACTTTTTTCTTGCAATTACTGTCAATGCAAATTCTTGAGCTCACAGGCGCTTGGTGGACACCAAAATGCACACAAGAAAGAAAGGACGCTGGCAAAACGCGCTATGAGAATGAGTATTTTCTCCGAGAGCTATGCAAATCCGGCATCTTTGCCTCTTCACGGATCTTCATTCAGATCACTAGGTATCAGAGCACACTCATCAGTGCATCAAGGGTTTGCACCGCCAGTGAGGCCTGCCGAGATTGGGAGCGGTGCACGATCTGAACACGGGTACATGGGGGTACCAATTTTCTTCGTGGATGATGGGGCGGAGCTGTTATGGCCTGGTAGTTTCCGCCAGGCTAGCGCTGCGGAGACAAGTAACTCTACTCACCCAAGTTTTGTACTGACTCATGAAAGTTCAAATTTGAATTTTGCAGAGGTGACACCGCCCGTGGACGTCATAGACAACTCTGCACCAGATCTCACACTGAAGCTATGAAAGAGTTGGTTCCCGAAGGACATGGAAAAGCATCGGCATTTATGTTTGTTGCTCTTAGTTTGTATAGTGAGATACACATGAGCCATATGACTGCCAGTTTCACTTTCTTCTTACTGGTGCTTTTTACCTTTTCAAATTGTATAAGAGCTGTATGGCTATGAGGCTATTTCAGAGCTCCTTCGCTTTGATTTGATATAAATTGTTCTAGTTTGCAATGGTACTAGTACACTAACGCTGAAGCTCTAACGAATAAATTAATACATTACTAGCCACTCGTTTGAATGCTCCATACAATCTAATCTCCTATTTTGAAGTTAATACAACGCTAACCACTTGTTTAAACGGTCCATTCAATCTAATTTCCTAATTTGAACTGTTCATTTTCTAAGTCCTCAATGAAAGATCATATATCAATATTTAAATTCATCTATAACAAGCAAACTATAATTTTCATTATAAGAGCATTTTACTTCACTTATGGAGACAATTTGATTTTAAATGTTCACTACTTCAGCTATAAGTCATTGAAAAAATAGTTTAACATATACGCTATGCTCATAATGAGGGCCGACTTTGAATAGTATGGGTTGTAAATACGCACTAGGCATCCAACTAAATATGTAAGTCGAGTTTGTCACTGGCACTACAATGGATCTAGTGGTATTTATCTTTATATAAGTGAGAGGTCTCATGTTTGACATGATACTAAATTATAATTAACATATTATGTGGTTTAACCCAAAGTGCTCTCCTATATCGTTATATCAAAATATAAAATAGCATAAAATAAGTAACATGGTAATCCGAAAAATTCAAGATTTACATAGTAATTAATCCAATTGCCACACCATCAAGTCTAAAAGACGCTAGACGGATAGGGGCCTAGCGCCTAGGGACTAGGCGAGCCCTACATAGGATCTGATAGGTGCATTATTTATCACATTTTCATTTTAATTATCCCTAAGTTTTGTTAAAGAATTGGTCTTAAAAGAGCCTTATTACTTTCCTTTTCTCTGTTTTAGTCAATTTGCGCATGCATGACGTTTTTTATGCTAATTCGACTTTTCGGAGGAGTTTTGATGCCAGGTCAATTGGAGAAGGAAGCTAAGAGGTGGAAGATCAGTGTATCCAAATTTCATAATTTTTCGTGGAACCAAATGTTCCAGTTTTCAAAGTTAATCCTGCAGAAGTAACTTTCCCGTCAGAATTGTGCAGCTGTAGGATAATAAAGATTTGGAGGCTTTCCCGATTTTTCCTAGTGGCGTGCGATATATGCTTGGAAAGTTAAGAGATAAATCCACATTTCCTATATTTTTACAGAATTTTCCAAAAAAGAAATCAACCTCAAATTTGGCATGCAAGTCAGATGCCGTGTTTCCCAAGTCAAGAAGGATTCTTTCCTAGTTTCTCTCATTGATTATTTAGGAATTTGTTCTCTTTTAAGAGAGTTTTTTTTTTTTTTTTTAATTTTTTTTTCAGACTTTATAGGATTTTATTAGAATAAATAGAGTGACTTACGCCATCTTAGGGCAAAGAACGGAATACAGAGGATTCTTCGAAAGTGAAGGAGAAAAGCTTAGCATGTTTTACCATTCTTTTCCGGGTTTTATCTTCTTCCATAACTTCTTTTGTGATTTTTATTATGACTGTGTAACTAAATTACTTTTCTAAGGTTTATGATGAAGCCATGACATGATTATTCCCGAAGTATCTTGTTGATTATTATCTGATTATATGCCATGTTTAGTTCTTAATCTTTGTGCTTAATCTATTCTAGTTTCGAACGTTCTTGTGACTGACCATCATTATGAACTTGTTTCTAGATAATTAGATAAATCTAAGAGGATGACCAATCAATTAGGTTTATTGGAACTAAGATTAAGAAGAGTAGATAAAACTAGTGAGGATGACCAATATCAAACTAGTCCTACTTGGTTGACATAATTCTTCAGTGCTTAATGGGTTTGTATGTGTTTAACTGTATGCCTAACCAATATGATATAGTTGTCACGTATATACACATGAGTTGATGCCTAACCACGGATTAATTCATATTTTAGAAAGAACAACCTTAAATATTGGCATGGTTATTGGAGAATAATCGGCTTGAAGAAAAGGAAATAGGATTGTTATTGGTGGATTCATGACCTTAGGCTTTCATCACATTAATTTCTTTTAAACTTTCATTCATTGTGCATTTTCGTTATTCATATTTTTGGTTTAATGTTAAGTTGGAGTTTTAATTATTTTTCATAATCAATTCACCAATCATTCGGGTTTCCTAGTTAAGTTAAGTTTCACGAAATCAACTGGTTGAATTGGTATTAAACGCAATTCCTGTGGGATCGACCTCGTAATTGCATATATTTCTACAATTGATTCGTGCGCTTGCAAGTTTAATTTGGTTTAAATTAATCTATTATTTATCTTAGTTAAAATATACATCAGGATCCCAAGCGGTTTTTACTTTAATTAAATTTATTATAGAAATGAGTGTTATTTATACTTTAAAAAATTGTATTAGAAAACTTAAATTGAAAAATAGAATGATACATATCAAGTACTAGAAGATATGGGAACAAGTATATAATGAATGTTCGTCCATCTCCAACAAGTTTCTTACAATTTATTAAAAACATAAGATGCAAAATTGATGTTATCATTTTCTATCCAATTATCTTCGGGCCAAGCAGGCTCCTAGGAGGCCTAAGCACCTTTACATTTTTTTGATATTATCTATACTAAGGGAGTGGAGGAATAGGCTAAGCCTCACAATGGACTAATAATAATGTGGTTCAAATTCGCCTTTTGTGAGAATCAAACCTAAGACCTCTTACTTACAAGCGAAGAGGAACACAACTAGACTGTAGTACTAAATGACTCATTTTATATTTTTTGAACATCTAAAAATTAATCGTGGCAACGACCAACCTAGCACCTAAGTGCGACCCTTTAGAACATTGAAAAATGCCAATAACTACTCCAATGTGGGAATTGTTTTGATTTTAATATATTAATTTATATTTTGCTCCTTCTTAGTTAAGTTATCTTCTCTAACTGTTATAAGAAGGAGGATCACCTTTTTATATTAAGATAGTTTCATCAAATTGGTCTTTTTCTTTTATATGTAGAGATTAATAATAGAAAAATAAATAACAAAATAATGAAGTAAAAAATAAATAATAAATAAAAGTGGGCCAGCAATTATAATTTAGAAGTGCGGCTGATTGGCCCAATTAAGGATTTGGCAAACCCGAAGTGGCCTGTTTATATGCTTCCGCGGGAGAGGAGAAGACGAATATGAACCATTACGCGCCTTATTACACAAAACGCACCGGTTAGTTCCTACCTTTTATATCAAAGGTTACGTCTGTGATATTTTTTTTTTTTTTTTCTATAAATTATTAGATTGCGATTTGTGGAGACAGACACGGATACGCTATTGGAATTTGGAAACAACAAATCTCCAACCCACCCAGGCAGTCAGGTCACCCCCCCCTCCTCCTTTCCCCTTTTACTTTTTCATGTTTTTAACTTCTTTTTTTCGCATAATCTTTTATCTTTAAATCCTTAAACTTGATTAGATTGTAAGATTTGGTTAATCAAATTCAGTAACTATTTTTGTTTACAAAAATTCCATCACTGTTTAAAGAAAAATACTGATCTTACTAAACAGTTTAAGATAAATACGACAAAAGATTACAAAATAAATTACGAAATTTTTTTTATATACAACCGAAGATATATTTTCATGAATTTACATCACCTATCACGCATTCATGTGACTTGTGATGAACCATGTAGACTCGTCTCAAAGAAATTAGATGTCGTTTTTGGATTCATTTTCTACTTTGTCATTTTCATATTCTGTTTTTTTGTTTGGCACAGATGGCTAAAGTCCTGCATATAAATTAAACAAATAAAAAAGTCGCAATCTTTTCAATTGCGTTTCTTGAACTCCAAGCTTCAATTCTTATGGATGGATAATATAATATATATTATATTGCAATAGAAGAATATATAAACTCGTAAAATTGTGCAGTGCAGGTTTCACAAAATTGCTCGAAAATTCAAATACCTACCTCAGATGGGGAATCTTAGTAATCTTCTACTTCTGCTGATTTTGATATCGACTCCGTTGGACTGTCACTCATGGGGTTGGTTCTCCTCGTCCGACGAGACCTACTCGAGCGAAAACCCTTCTGGTACGAAGGACGCTTCCGGTGGTTCAGTTGGTAAATTCTCCATGGATGGTCTTGATGACCAGAAGGGAATCCGGCTTGTCGAAAATGCTAAGAAGAAACTGGTAGGTTCAGACTCTTGTTGGCAAAATGCTTACCGACATCTCTTTGCTGGGTGCTCGGAGATTTTCGCTGTTGAAGACAAGCGGTCAAGATTTGCTTGGCATCTCAGTGATTGCTTTCAGAAGGATTCCGGCAGGCCTCCTTTTCCTTCGTGTGACTCGAAATCTGCCATGCATAAATGCCTCAAGAGTTTGAATGACAATGAGCACAAGGTCTATTTGGAATTCTACCTTGAAACCAACTCCATCTGCCATCAGTTACAGTTAAGTATTATAATTTTTGTGCAAAGTGAATGAAATGTTTATGTTCGTCTTAGAAAAACTAAAATGAATTTTGTTTCATGTCGTTGCCAGGGCTCGAGTATTTAAGCATGAAACAGAGAGATTAGTGAATGAACTTAAGAACTCAGCACAATATGCAGAGAGCAAGTTGGAAACAATTGAAGAGAAAGCAGAATACCTGCTGCAGGGCTCAAATCATATAAACGACTCTTTGAATTCAATTGATCTTCGGACGCAGCAAGTGGCGGAGACTGCAAAAAATGTAGGAGATCATATAGGCATAGTGTTGAAGCATTCCGCAGCAGTTTACGAGCAATCCAAGAAAATCGAAGCTTCTCAGTCAGAGCTACAAGAAGGTCAAGTAGAAATGAAGAGAAATTTAAACGAAGGGATGGCAGTGCTGCAAGATTCATACAGCCAATTGGGTATAGAAATCGATAACTTGAGAGATGAAGCTGTAGAAATCGAAAAGGAGATCATTAAAGTTGGAGGTGAAATGTCATCTCGGATGGAAAATCTGCAATCCAAAGCTGACGATATCGGGAATATGGCTGGGCTCTCTTTGGATAAGCAGCATCAGCTTCTAGATGGACAGACAACCGCTCTCAAGGATCTTCAGTTTTTAACCAAATTTCAATCTGAAGCGTTAGAAGAGAGCAGGTAAAACAACGAAAATTTTGTCAAAGTCCAGAGAACCTGTATAATTTCTCTAATACATTAACAAACTGCAGGAGTACACTTCAACGATTAGCGGAATATGGCCATAGACAACAAGAAGAGCTTCTTCATAAGCAACAACAACTTCAGCGGGTTCACGATCATTTGATGGAAAATTCTAAGTCTATCCTGGCAGCTCAGGTTTGTTTAGCTTTTAGTTTCTTCTTAATGAGGTTTCTTCGACTGGTTTTTGTAATTGTCTCATTGATTCTTGGTTTTATGCAAACAGGAATCTTTCGAATCAAAGCAAGCCAGCATGTTCGTTGCATTAGATAAACTCTTTGCTTTGCACAATGCTATGTTGCTTGAGTCACGCATAATCAAAGCTTTCTTTATTTACTCTATATCAATCTTTGTTATCTACATGTTCACAAGCACAAAGCAAACATACACAGTGAGACCATGGCTATATATTGGTACGTAATCTATACCATTACAAAAAAAGGAAAAATGCTCAGAGTTTGCAGTGTTCACTAAACTTATATTCTACTGTTGTATATTACAGGGCTGTGTACTACATTCTTGATAGAAGTAGCGATAATTCGCTTCACAGTGAGTGACATTGAACACCAAACATGGAAAATAAACCTTTTCCGGTCAATCTTTGCAGTCATTGCTTTAGTTCAGCTAATATATGCAATTTTCACATACAGGTATGACAAATGCAGAAACTTCGAAATTCTAGCTGAAAGATGAAAATTTGATTTCTATATCTAAAAGCATGCCTTTTAAACGATGCAGGGACTATGAAGTGTTGAACCATCAGTTGTTACATACATTGATTGAGAAGGTTAATGGCATGCAACGGAACCAGAAGTTGTCATGGGAAGCAGATAGTGATTTAAACTGGTCCTCGTGGATTGACACTAACTTACCTGAAGATGTAGACAGTTCTGAAGACCCTGACTACTTAGTTCCTGAAGAAGTTGGGGGAAATTTTATCACAGCTTCAACTCTAAAAGAGTATGATCTCCGCCAACGTCTTCTTCATTGAGGACTCTTTGTAGGTTTGAACTCATAATTCTTACGTATTTTCTGGGGTTCCATCTATTAGTATTTAAACAGAAATTCAAATGAAGATTACTTGTAAAAAGAACCTCGAAAAAAGCTAGAAAAAATTGTATTGTTACCAGTAGTCCTTAATTACAAGAACATGATCCTCCTTTAAAATGGTGGAAGCGATTTGCGTCTCTCAAAACAATCTCTCTCCCTGTAATCAATGAAACTATTTTCATCCAGGAGTGGCAATCTGCACAAATGCGTAAGTTCTTTATAATCCTAATTGGTATTCCGGCAGGCTGCAGCAGTGTGGACAAGTGCGAACTTAAGTGCGACTCTTTCACTGTATCCACAAACCCACATTGCTTTCGTTTCTTCATTTACATCATGTAGCACAGCACTGGTCTCAAGGATGTAACCAACCTCTTCCATAGCATCCATCAAATCTTTCCAAATGTTTTTAAACTCAGCTGAATTACGAAATTCAAAACCGCCACCTGCTACAAATGTGTGAACTTTGTTCTTTATTTGTATCCAACTGCATCCAGCCTCTCTTTTAATTCCCCTAGCCTTCATTAGTTCCCTGACCCTTTTCACACCCTCATAAATGTTTGAGAGCATCACATAGTTCCCAGGATTGTTTCGTTCAAGCTCAAACAACTTCATTGCAGCACGCTCCGCAAGAAAAACATTGCCTTGGAGCCGGCATGCTTTCCACTTCATCTAAGGCCTCCTTAATTCTACCGGCTCTACCCAAGATATCCACCAAGCAAGCATAATGCTCAACTGTTGGTGACACACCATAACCCACCTTCATTTTATCAAATAAGCTTCGTCCTTCTTCAGTAAGCCCTGCATGGCTACAGCCAGACAACAAAATTATAATCCAAAACAAAGAGGATAATTATTAAGTTATCAATCGATTATTAATCCCAAACAAAGAGAGAGAATTATTAAGTTATCAATCAATGATATGTACCAAAAATTAAAATCAAACGTAACAAAAATTAAAATTAAACGTACCAATCACTAAAATTAAACATACCAATCAACGACATATACAAAACTAAACGTACAAAAATAAACATACCAACCGATATTATGAACAAAATAAACGTATGAAAACCAATAATAAACGTACTAATAATGTATACATAATAATTCTCTCAACAAAATGTGTACATAATAATTTTAAAAAAATACAAAGATCCAACATCCACCATTTTGGTTATCTTGAAGATAAAATAATATTTTAATTTTGGGAGACAAAAATATTTTGTACAAAAAAAAATAAAAAAGAGATAATTAGATAAATATTTTGAATGAAAAACCATGATTATATCTTAAAAAAGAGTCCACAACTTCTAAAATACTTTAAAATATTGGCAAAAAATTACAACAATAATTTTGAAAAATTCAATAATGATTTTTAATTTGATAGATAGACTGATGTGGCCTAATCTACCTAAGGGCCTTAAGCAAAATCCTGAAAGGCACGATGTTAGACAAAAAAAAAACCTTAAATTTTAGGCGTTTAAATCTAATTAAGCCTTCTTAATAAGTTATAGTTATTGGTATGATTATTGGGATGAAATTTATCATTTTTTCATATTGATTTGATCATGTATTGGTTAATTCATATATATTTTTAGCTTAAATAATTGATATATATGACTTTGTGTTTAGATTAATTGATATGAGAGACCAATGATTAAGTAATAGTTTAGTTGTTTACATTAAAAAAATGTGTTTTCTTGTTTCTGATAATGAAACTATCATGAAACGTTTTTAAAGAATGAAACCTTGCCATTGCCAAATTTAGCATTTGTATTTTGTAATGTTGTTTGTACAATGATTATGTGCAATCATTTATAATTTTCTCTTTTAATTTTTCACGTAATTTGAAATATTCATTTGGTAATAAGTGCATGTTAAACCGTAGTGCAATATTGTTGAACTTATCACATCGGTGCTATTATGGTTAAGTTATGGTTTGGTATTTAGGCAAACCGCGGTGTGCGATTTGGGTGGGGACTTGGACCCAAAATCGAACCAACCGGAACTGCACCTAGCCCTAATCACGACTAGTCTCTAAGTAGTGGTAATCTGAATGACAATACACTATGATTAATCAACTTCATCCATATTTCACCACTTGCTTTAAAATAACAGACCACAATAAAGGAGGTTTTTCTTTTTTTTCGAAAAAACAGGCTACTAGTGGTGACCTGAGGCAGGATCGTTTCCGAGAAGCCGACACCAGCATTCGAGACAATAGATAATCCAGCCTGACGCAACAGAGGTTGGGATTATTGTACTACATTAGTGGATGAGTTCCAGTTTACCTAGAAAAACTGGGTCATCCTTAAAGGAGGCCAGCGATTTCTTTTAAGATGATCTTCTTGGCTGAATTCTGCAGAAGCTATGCAACCTCAGTATCCATGGCTGAAGCTGCATACCAACTTACATTCGCAGACCATTCTGCCCTGAATGTCAGTCTTTAAAGATATCACTGACCGCCCAAAGGACGAACTAGGAAACCTGGAATTTATCCCACTGCTCCGAGAGTATCGTCAAGTCTGTTAGTTTTAAAGCAAGTAGTGAAATATGGAAGGATGGTCCATCTTTCCAAAGCCAATATCATCTCACCATTTTACCTTCCGTCATCCATTCAAGATTAGAATCTCTTTGTTTATGTGAATCATATTGATCATTTAAAATGTTAAAAGCAATGTAATGTGTCAAAACCTAAGAACGAGGGGATCAACAAAACAACGAGAGAATGGACAAGCCGGTGTCCGAGTGATTGTTCGGAGCAAAACTCGAGTCTTTTGGGGCCTATGAAAAAGGTAGTTATACAAATGTATCGCTGTTTTGGATCTTGAATAACAATTTCTTTTTGACCAAAAAATAGTAAAAAAACTTCTTTTTTTCCTCGAAAACTTTTGTCATGAAAAAACACTCACCTAATAATCACAGTTATTTTATGATATTGTAAATGATTTTTTTGTGTTACCACAACTCTTCTCGGAATGACAAAAAAATATGAATTTTATTTGAAGTGAGAAGAACACATCCAATAATATCGTATTGATTTTCAAACCATTTGTTCATTAAAGAAGCCAAAGATCTTACACTATTTAAATTTTTATTAAGACATTGCATATTATATAGAGAATTGTTATTAGTACTCTAAAAATCTCATTTGGCACTCCAAACTTTCTATTATTAGAAAGAAAAATACACTAGTGAGGAATGTAGAATAAGATTTTTGGAGTGCTAATAACAATTCCTATTATATATTATGTAGAAGTAATTTTTTTAAGATCAAATCTAAAAAAATTACAACTTATTACATTCTGGAGAGTTTATTGCGATATATAATTGGCCTAGTTCGGTTTTTATGCTAATGTGGGGAATTAATTCAATTCCCTGTAACCAAGAAAGAAAAGACAGGTGAAAAATTGCTACACAGGTGTAATGTGAGTCAAAGCCTCTCTGATGCCTAGGTTAGACCTAATTGTTGGAATGATGAATTTCAAGCTATAGATATATCTTTTGATGGAAATGATCATATCTTTACATAGGGTTAATCATGGGCTTGAAGATGATGATTCATTAGGGCAAGTGCGCGGCTCCCTAAGTGGTTAACAACAGTTGACTAAGGAAGACGTGTTGAGGGACACCAAATAAGAATCCCGTTTTAGGATAGTGCTTAACGATATCAATGATCATGGACTATGCCTGGGCCTGGGCCACGATTTTAGGGATCATTATCCCGTGGAGATTTGGCTGGATCTTTCCTTACTCAGCTGTGGGATCATGAATTTCCATCTGCTAGAGTGGGGTGAAGTAGAGTAAGTGTGCCTCCATAGTCCAGCCATACACTAAACGAATTCGATTAGACACCTTGTTGGGCTTCAAAATGGTAGGGAAGACCCCCATGCCTTGTCGAGAAAGACCTACTTGCTCTGCAAGACATAAAAACCTAATCTAACTTGAGGTTAGATTGGTTTTATATATTCTTGGAGATTCTCACAATCTAGCGTGTAGCTCAAGTAATCATAATTTTAAAAGGAAGCAATGTCTTATGGTGGATATCCTTTAGGATTCTCCAATTTAATACGAATTCATTATCCTAAAAAGGCTCTCCCTTGGCTAGTATAAATAACCCATCCAAGGTTCACCAAAGGTACTATGATATTGGCATTCTGGAAAGCATATCTCTCTTAATCTCTAGCCTGCTTCTTGAGTTTTAAAACCTTTCACTCGATTGTTGGAGATCCTTTGGCGTTACCATACTGGTGCCCAGGAATTGATGATTTTTCGCTTCTCTTTGCATGTGGACGATCAAGTGTTCCTCCATCCACGGTGGTGTGGAAATTTAGTTCAAACGCTAGCCCATCTGGGCTAATCTCATTTGTGAGTCCCTGCCTCATGAGATCCTTTTCGGGCCTTGTCAGACCAACTAAGCCCAATTTCTGCCGGGCCTTATTTACGGGTACATCTCCTCCATGGATTAGTTGTCAACCCATGCGATAGTTGAGTATTGGCGCAACTTTGGGCATAATTTCGTCATCGTGGCTTGCTTTAGTATAACTGCCCTCCTAAGGCAGGTGAAATTTGGTTACCACAACGAGCAATTTTAATTTTTCAAGATCGATTACATTTTTTTAAGGAGCATTTCCTTTTAACTTGTGCGCAGTGTTTGTTCTCTAACGTAGTTAACAATCTGCATGTACATTTTTTTTTTATTTTTTATTTTTATTACAAACCGTATTCTACATTAAGAGGGAGGGAAGGGGAATATTTTAAACTCGAAATGCAGTGGATCGACAAGTAAGGCCGTAAGAGTCCTAACTATCAGGGTAAATCACCACTTGTGTGTACATACTCTTAAACCCAAACCTTTTTTCTACTTGGAAAAACTAAACAACATTTGTTTTTTTTTCTTTTCCTTCTTGTTATTAGTAAAATTTGTTAAACAGAGGGCGGGTGGGAAATTTCTGGGTGATATGGCCTTTTTTGCTTCACGGAGAAGTGGCGGTGCCTCGCACGTGAGCATTGATGAATAGCTAAACTCGGCTAGTCCTTCTCTATTTTCATTTAAAATGAAAATCTTCTTAACTGTAAGTGGAAATTTTAATCACGCGTCTCGTAATAAAATGTGC